TGTATATATATATAACATGATGTATAACGAATATATAAAATTTGAATATAATCAGTCAAAGCATTTAAGAGATATGGCTCTAGAAGCCCAATCATTAAAACAAAATGGCCGCCAGTCAGCCATTTTGAATTCAATCTGAAAAATAAAATGACGTACATCAGGAACCCATAATGTCTAATGTATGTACCAAGTTTGAACCAAATCCATCCATAAATGCCAGAAATGCTTGATATTTGATGATTTTTTAGCACAAAAATGACCACCATTTGGCCATTTTGAATAGCATCGTCAAACCAATATATCTGTTTATCTATGACATGATGTATAATGAATATTTAAAATTTGAACATAATCAGTGAAAGCAAGTCAGAGATATGGCACGAGAACCACATTCATTAAAACAAAATGGCCACCAGTCAGCCATTTTAAATCTTATCTGAAAAACAAAATTATTTGCATCAAGGTCCCATAATGTCTAATGTATATACCAAGTTTGAACAAAATCCATCTGTAAACAGCCGAGAAATGCTTGATTTTTAGGATTTTTTAGACAAAAATGGCCGCCATTCGGCCATCTTGAATCAGATCGTGAAACAAATTGACGTGCAGAGGAATGTTAGTAGAGTCAATGGATACCTTGGTTTGAGCTTCAACAGAGCACATTGCTTGGTAATTATGGATTGAAGTTCTAGTTTACATAATACTTTAATGAAGTCAGTTTATTTATATCCTACAAACCAGTCAGTGAGGTCACACAAATTGTTTACTGCAATGAATTTTATTCAACATTCCAATAGAAAACAGGAAAGCTATAATCCAACATTCAACTGTTAAGAGTTTCACATCCCACCATATTATAAAATATATACAGAAATCAGAAATCTATAGATTTAATGCGAAGAAAAAAAAATACATTTTAAATTTCTTTTTATTACAACATCTAAAAACGGTACTTACAATATAAGGTGTTGACATTTTTGGCAAGTATAGGAAAAAAAATTGTCAATTTGACTTCATAAAAATGGAATGAATAATAAAATGGAGCAAAATAACATTTTTTTTTTTAAATTACTAAGATTTGAGGAAACTTTTTCAAATATGTTTTTTTTGTCCACCCAAACATTTTGTATTTTTAAAGCATTTCACAATATTTCATTGTCAGTTTTGAACCAGCTGCAGATATTTCATTACGTACTAATCTTGATTGAAACTGTAAAAAAAATATGGAAAAAATTATGTGGTTTTCATTTATGAATATTAATCTATTTTTATTGGCAGACACAATTTCCATGTTACTACGCGTTTAAGTGTTACAGCTGATATTGTTTTTTAGGCAGCCACCCGCAAACAAGGTTGCCATTATTCCACTTTTATACAAATTCAAGCAATTTCTTACTTCAAGGCAACATAATACCCAACATTGAACATAAATACAAGAAGTCATGCACTTTGATGATATGTAAGGACAAAGTAATTTATGTACCGGGGTATGTATCAACAAAATTCATTTATGCATGCATTACATCTAAAGTAAAATGGCCACCAGTCAGCCATCATGATATAAACCATGATGTTCCTGTGAGTAAAATAGTTTCATTTACTAAAGTTATCAGTCTTATGGCCAATATAAATTGCTGTGTCAAATGATCCCCTTAGAAAACAGTTTACTTGGCAGTATTCAGGAAATTACAAACAAATCTCCTGCATAACTATTTCATAACTAGAATGTCTATTTCAAAACACTGAAGCAGAAAAAACAGCTGTCTTCGTACCTAACATTCATTACCTGGGAATAATATAAAAACATGTATGCAATCCAAGTCACCCTCACCCCCGCAAACCTCAAGTACAATATTGCCGTCATGGGTCATCAAATTTAGTTGTAAATCAAGCTGAGACAATAATATATACTGCAAGTATATATTCACAAGTGTTCAAATAACTTCTAAAAGTTTTATCGTATTATGCATCTTCTACTTTGTAATAAATACAATCTTCAAGACAGCAACTAAAATAAAATAAAATAAAATAAAATAAAATAAAATAAAATAAAATAAAATAAAATAAAATAAAATAAAATAAAATAAAATAAAATAAAATAAAATAAAATAAAATAAAATAAAATAAAATAAAATAAAATAAAATAAAATAAAATAAAATAAAATAAAATAAAATAAAATAAAATAAAATAAAATAAAATAAAATAAAATAAAATAAAATAAATACGATTTGTCT